TGACAAATATGTAAATGTTTTGCAGAGAGTAAGAGCAAGAGGGTGTCATTGAAGAAGAAGCATAAAATTATAAGGAAAGTGAAGGAGCATCATAAGAAGAAGTCCAAAGAGGCTAAGAAGCTGGGCCTTAATAAGAAATCTAAGGTAGAGAAGGACCCAGGAATTCCCAATGACTGGCCTTTTAAGGAACAGGAACTTAAGGCTCTCGAGGCTCGTCGAGCTCGTGCTCTCGAGGAATTGGAGCAGAAGAAAGCTGCCCGTAAAGAGAGGGTATTCACTTTTCTTGAGTTTAGTTGTTTTCGTGTTTTGCTTGCTTGGCCGGATTGTATGTTACTTGGACTTTATATTGCATCTTGAGGCTTTGCATCGGGTTAATTTTATGAAAAAAGATAATCTTTGTGCTACGTTATAATATTTGATTGATTGTCGATGCTTGAGGTGAAATGTTAAATGAATTTTATGGAAATAGTGCTGTGCTTCTGTGAGTAGTTGATATTTGCAGGCAGCTCTTGATTCTGATATGAAAAATATCTTGGTTTTAAGAATTCTATACTTGATTCAAAGAAAATATAAGGAAATTTGGACCTGTCTAGAAATTTCAAAAAAAAAATTGAGATAAAAATCTAATGGTATGAATTATGTGAATTCTTTGGATCATAGAGTAGAAGCCCCCCCACCCCCCACCCCACAGCACCACCACAAAAAAAAAGTAAATAAAAGGAATGGTAGAAGGAACTAAGGAGGAAAAGAATATATCTCACTAATTTTCGGGTAAGATTTACTTTTCTGCATGCTCAGGGAGTGGCATACTGATTTTAAAAAGAGTGGAGTCAATGACTTAAGCTTCTTTATGAAGGGCTTTTAAAAGGTTTAGGTTGCTACTCCATATCTCAGCCTTGAAGCAGGCAGACAGACCAACTCCCATCTCAACGGTGGGAAAACTCGTGTCTCCTTTTTTATATAGGTTTTCTTGCTATTGGGTTTTCGCTTTCCTACATTTTTTTGCAGGTGATATTTTGTCCACATGTTTACCTTTCATGACATTGTTGTTTTCCAGGCAAAGAAGAGAAAGCTTGGGCTGCTTGAAGATGATGATGATAAGTCCACACCGGCAGATATGACTTCAACAAAACAAAATAATTTTGAAGAGGGAAGGCCAAATGATGGCTCAACTTCTTTTGTTAAACATCGAGGTATGCCGAATCTTTCTATATATGTTTGTTATTAGTTGGTTGGCTACGGACATGGGAGTGTGATTAAAGGTTTTACTCCTTTTTTCTTTCTTTGAGCTTGATGCTTGCTTGATTGATACAGATAACTCTGAAAGGGCTTTCTACAAGGAGTTGGTCAAAGTGATTGATGCTTCGGATGTCATTTTGGAAGTGCTTGATGCTCGAGATCCTCTTGGTACCCGCTGTCTGGACATGGAAAAGATGGTGATAAGAGCAGGACCCGATAAACATCTTGTGTTACTCCTCAATAAAATTGGTATCTTTTAGTTCTATCATTGTTTGCATTATCCTGTGTCTGCTTGAGTTTTTGTTTACGGTATTATACTGATCACAGATAGGTACTGTGGGGACCATGTGTTTTTGACATCATTCTGAAAGTAAAGGGTTATCGGTTGGAGTTTAATCATTAGAAGCACAAAGAAGTGGACATTGGTTATATATATATATATATATATGTAAAATGATATCCATATCTAAAATAATATATGTGTATGTGTCTCTACTTTGGCCTTTTGATATAGGTCACTATGGTCGGTTATTTTGGCTCTGTAAATGTTGCGTCAGAGTCTTAGATTAATGATGGTTCATACAATGCCCAACAGAGAAGCTTCGAAGGGGTACTTTTACATGCTTATTTGGATGGGATTTTTTACCTCTTGACTATTTTCTTCAGATCTCATTCCTCGGGAAGCTGCGGAAAAGTGGCTAAAGTATCTAAGAGAGGAATTACCAACGGTTGCTTTCAAGTGTAGCACCCAAGAACAGAAGTCAAACTTGGGCTGGAAGCCTTCCTCAAAGGCTGGTAAGAGTAAGACTAGCAATCTTCTGCAGACCAGTGATTGCCTTGGAGCTGAGACACTGATAAAATTACTGAAGAATTACTCGCGAAGCCATGAGGTACTTCCAGGATCATCTTTATGGCGTTTTCTCTCTAGTTTGTGTTGCAGTTGAGTTCTGGAGTATGCCTCGGAACTTTAACTTGTATACTTTTTGCACAAGGTGCAAGTAACAAATGCATTAAATTGTTTTCTCACACATTCGGTTAATTTCATTTGGATATTACATGAATGCTTTTGGTTCGCTGTTAACTTCCGTTCTATTCTCTTTGAAGACTTTTCAAACCTAATTCTCCATCCTCTCTTACACTCTGGACATTTTCAAGTCTCTTATGTCTATCAGTTGTTTGCATGTGTTGGGTGTCTCTGAATGTGTTATAAAGAGAACTTTGCTTCTAACCATCAAGATGAACAAGGAGACATTGAAATTTGTTATCAGCATCAAGAAGTTGTTTGAGCTTCTGTGGCAAAGTCACTTGCACTTTACATTGTCTTTCCAACCTTGAATTTATCGTTTGATAAAACCTTGAACTCGTCGTATGTGCAGTGCATTTAGATGGGTACACCACGAAATATTATACTTATCCACTATCGGTATGGGTCCTATCTAAGGTAAACTTATGTTTTTGGATGCAAGAGATGAAAGGTTTTGGAGGAATATAGTAAGATGAGGAAATTTAAAGTACTTCATAGACCTTCGGTTTGTGTGGAGTAAATTAACCAGCCTATTCAGTTGCCTAGTTTCATGCTATTTAATTTTGCAGTTTGCTTGAGTTATTGTGTTGGTTTCCCACTAATGGTAATCCCTTGCAGATCAAGAAATCAATCACTGTAGGAGTCATTGGTCTACCAAATGTTGGTAAAAGTAGCCTGATTAACAGCTTGAAGAGATCTCATGTAGTCAACGTAGGTGCTACTCCAGGATTAACAAGATCCTTGCAAGAAGTCCAGTTAGATAAGAATGTTAAGTTGCTGGACTGCCCTGGGGTTGTGATGCTTAGGTCTGCATCTGAGGATGATGCATCTATTGCTCTTCGAAACTGCAAGAGGATAGAGAAGTTAGACGACCCGGTTGGTCCTGGTAATTGGATTTTCTTTCACATTTTTTTTGTGCTTCTGATTCTACTCTTTCAATAGTATTTACGTATCTGAAACGATTTAATAAAATGGTATTGATGTATCTGACTGTTAGTACTATGGGTTTACAGTAAAGGAGATTCTCAAACTTTGTCCAGAAAGAATGTTGGTTACAATATACAAGGTTCCTACCTTTGATTCAGTGGATGACTTCCTTCAGAAAGTTGCTACAGTTAGGGGTAGGCTTAAAAAGGGAGGAATTGTTGATGTTGATGCTGCAGCAAGGATCGTTCTGCACGACTGGAATGAGGGTATGTATGAATACTGTCAAGTTTCCTTTGAAACAATTTGAACTTCCAATATATGAGCGCATTTCACGCTCATAGATGAAAGCACCGTATTATTACAATCTGATGTCCCATGACACATTCCAGGGAAAATTCCATACTACACCTTGCCCCCAACCAGGAATGAGGGGGAGCATTCTGAGGCCACGATAGTTTCAGAACTTGGAAAAGAATTCAATATCGATGAAGTTTATGGAAGTGAATCCTCAATTATTGGAAGCCTGAAATCTGTCAATGATTTCAACCCAGTTGAAGTTCCATCAAATCACCCCGTTAACTTTGATGAGAACATGCTAGAGGTAAGTTATTTCCCCTATATGCTTCTGCAAATACTATTTGTATTTCATTCCTGTGTATGCTGTAATTGCTGTTCCCTTGACCATTTCTGAACTTCAAATATTATCAATTTAAGATGAAATGCTCCTAATTTTGTGATCTGAAGGCTGCATGAACTAATAAGTCTTTTTGTGTTTGAATTTTTTCCTAAGAACTATGATTACAGTTTATCTTTGAGTGTTTTTCTTTCAAAATTTCAGAAGAGCAGCTTTGGGTCCGTGTTCAAATTATCATATAAAGTTATCAATGCCATTTTCACCCTGCATTCTCCATTTATGATTTGTCACATCTATAGTCAACTTTATATTTTCAAAAGAAAAGAAGAATCTGACTAATGTTGCCTATTTGCATTTCAGGACCATTTGCAGCAGCCATTGGCTGAAAATGATAATTCTATAGACAACCCTGTTAGTGAGAACGGAGATGAGCCAATGGATTCAGGAGAAGGTGATGCAGTCCAGACGAGGGGCAAAAGTGCCAGTAGTAGACAAAATGAGAAGTTATACGCTGAGGAAGGCATGTTGAACACTAAACAGAGAAAAGCTGAGAAGAAAAGGAGGAAGAAAGACAAGCCCTCAACTGCCAGTGATATGATGGATGATGATTATGACTTTAAGGTAGATTATGTCAAGAAGGATTCTGCCATGGATGATGCCGAGGACACTGAAACAACTGATGGAAGTAAGAATAACAGATTTGAGCTACCATCCGGGGTTGACTTGGATAATGAATGAACCCTTATAGGACCATCTTAAAAATCTATTTTTGTGGTTTTTAAATTAGTTTGTCCTGTAAAAATTTTGATACCAGAGACCATCTTCATTTAAGTTGCTAAATTGAGGCAATTATATATCACGGGAGAGGCATTTTTGTTAATTACATTTTGTTCTTGTTCCTAAGCAACTTTATCACTTGTGACCAGAAAAGATAACGAGAAGGAAAAGGAATTATGTAGCTAAGGTTATTCGAGGGCTGTGGAATTCAATTTTACTTTAGATCTGAAAATAATACGTAAGACCAATTTAGAAATCACAGCATTAGTTTCTTTCATCTGTAGGTTAAAGAACGTCTTGATTTGATGATAGCTTTTATCTATAATACAAATTTCTATAGCAGTAAATCAGGTCTAGTGACTTCAGGTTACACAACTGACACTAACAATGTAAGCAATGAAGCCTTGTTAAAAATCCGATGAGAAAAGGTATAATATTAATGGTGAAATAACAGTCTCTCAAGAAAATTTTCTTTGCTCTTCTACAAGTATCATATTGTTTCATTGAATATATAATCTAAACTAGGGTCTAGGTATAACAAGATTACATCACGAGGATAAACATAAACGAATAACAGAAACATCAGTCTCCGTTTGACAGCCCTAGCTTAGAGTCCTTGCTTCCACCTTCTGAATCAATCTTAGCAGGTTGGGAATTTATGCTTGTTTGTGGACTAGTTGCCGAAGTAACACCAGTACCAGCTGTCGATGTATCTGCCGCAAACGAGTTGGGAATAAGTCCCTGTGTATCCATAGTTTCACGTGCTGCTTTCTCTTTGGCTTGTTTTGCTCTTTCAAGAACCTCCTCCTGTTTTGCACAAACCTTTAAGGTTAGACATTTCTACTAAAGTTGTGGATAAACTTCATCCACTATTTGTTCTGGATGGACAACTCTAGACAACCAGGAACTATGAACAAGAATTTTCATAGTCATGATGCTTAGCCTGTGGATTACATAGTTCAACATTTTCCTGTACTGTATAAGGGAGTCATGGCTTCTCAAGAGACAAGAAACTGCTTCCGCAATTCATAATCTCAGGGGAGCTCAATTGCATACAAGCTCAAGTGGTTCTAGCAAAGCTTCTTCCGGTAAAGATACATAAAAGCGTTCACGAAATTTTTTACATTCATCTAGCACTTTAGTTGATTGAGGTTTAATTATATTAGTTGAAGACATAATTAACTAAATAAAAGAAGTGTGCACTCTCTAACAACTTAAGATTTTAGATGAGACGATCACACATTTCAACATGGTGTGAGAGCAAGCAGAACTCCTGGGTTCGAGTCTCACCATCACCATTATTAGAAAAGAATTTTCACATACTTGTCTCATGAATAATCAAGGCCGCACATGAAGCGTGGTGAAAACATAATTAAGTAAATAAAAAAGGCACAATAGCCTAAACGGCACTTCTTGTTCTAGTTTGTCATCCCGGTCCCCGTACTTACAATTTTACCAAGTGAACACTTACACTCGTTCAAACCTTGTATAATAAATGCTTATGACTAGAGGCTGAGGGTACGTGTAATGCAATCTCCTACACGTAGGACTCCATGTCATTACTAGTGCCACATAGGAAAATCAACTATTGAAAAATAGGATTGACCACCCAAACCTACTATTTCCCGTCATTTTACACTTTATCGATTATTCCACGTCATTATTTATTTTCTCAGAAAATATTTTTAATTTTTTTTTGAAGACAAATCCCAAATGCCTCAATAAACCACCTCATAGCCACCATTACAACTTCTTTCTTTATCTGACCATCGTGAACTATTCCCTAACCACCAACCAAGATCGTCCTTTCAAAATCTCACCCGACAGAATCCTTTTTCATCCGTAAGACCATCCTCACACATTGACTTCTCACGACTGTTCTACAATTACTAGTACCCACACAAAAAAGAAAAAAGAGAAATTCAACCGCCACAAAATTTTCTTCAGTGTAACCAAACAACCGGATCACCACCTTCCTCTAAAAACCACCACCCAAAAGCACCATTAAATACCCATCTTGTCATTATTTCCTTTAAAAAAAAAAAAAGAACCCCAAACGGAACCCATTATCCCAAAATTACCTGAAGAACCGATTAATTGAAATTTTGTTGCCTCCGCCATTTTTTCTAATAAAGAACTGATTAATTGGTTTTGAGTTAATATAAAAAAAGTGCTTTTTATAAGTTAAGTTGGGAGAAATCAATTGGGTTTTGATTAAACAGAAAAAGAAACAAGAAACGTAAAAGATTCTTTTGTTAAAAAATAGGATATTTCTGCCTGATTTTGTGATTTTGAAGGCTCATCCATTGTTTATAGTGGTGTGGAGGGGAAAAGAGGGAGGGGGAAAGAGGGATTGGGGCCAAGAAGAAAGGTGGGAGAAACTGAGAAAGAGAAGAAAATTGGTTTTTTGGGGGGGGGGGG